GTGGCTCTGCCTGGCCTGGTCTACCCCTAGTTCCAGTTCTCATACTCACCAGTGGGAGTAGTGGCCCAGCAGGGGAGCCTCCCACAGTCCCCCACTGGGCTTGCACCTCCCTGCAACCCCGGGTCTCACACGTGCTGGTGGGTACTGCAGCCTAGTCTGGCATGGCCTACCTCACCTCAGCATTTGCCAGCAGGTGCTTGTCCCTGGCCCAGCCCAATCTGCCCGTGGTTCAAGCTCATGCTGGAGGGTACTGCCATCTATCCCAGCTCAGCCAGCCCCCAGTCTTGACCCTAATGTGGACTGGCTAGTGCTGCAGTCCAACTAGGTCTGTCCTGTACTTTGTCCTGGTTTTCAGATCTGCCAGTGAGTGTTAAGAACAGCATAGCGTGGCCTGCCCCCAGACCTGCAACACATGTATGATGGCAGCTACCACAATCTGGCTTGGTTTGGGCTGCTCCCAGTCTTGGTTCTTGTGCCTACCTGCAGGAACTGCACCCTGAAAAAGAAGGTCCCCAAGCTCCTCTAACAGGTCTCCCAGTGGCAAATGTCGTGCACACTGGTGGGTCCTTGGCCTAGATTGACTTAGTCCACCTCCCGTCCTGGCAGGAATAGTGGCCTTGCCCAACCAGCCCACACCTTTTCTGGTTCTTACTGTTGGGTACTATAGCCCAGCCACACTTGGTCCACATTCAGACACAGAACCTAAGTCAGGAAGAATAACACATACTTGTAATAAAAACTCTGGCTGCAAATAAACCAAGGATCTTTGGTATTTGGTTCTAGAAGGATCCTCCTTTTTTAAAAAAAATTACGTATCTATTTAACACAAGGAAGTAACAGAGGGGAGGAGGAAAGGGAGACAGGAAAGGGGAGAGGATGAGGGGAGGGGAAGAGTTGAGGGAGAGAGGAGGAAGGAGAGGGAGAGGGGGAGTGGAGAGAAGCCCTCTCTACCTGGCAATTCACTTCCACAATAGCAGCAATGATCGGATCAGCAATGGTCCACAGCCAATCCAGGGACTCCCTTTGGATTTCTCACTGGAGCGGCAGAGCCCCAAGTGCTTGGAACATCATCTGCTGCCCTCCCAGGTGCGTTAGCAGGGAGCTGGATTGGAAGCAGAGCAGCCAGGTATTGAATCGGTGTTGCTGCTGGTAGCTTAACCCACTGTGCCACAATGTTAGCCCTTAAGCATCCTCTTTAGCATCAAACTTGAAACACTGCCTGGTACCCCAGGGACCAGCCTCCTGCTCCTTCTGCAGGAAACACAATGATCTTCTTCCTGTCACCTTAGTCTATACGCCTTTATGTTTCAGGAAAGAGGGGATCATACTATGTCTACATTTCTGGTTGGAATTGTTTCACACGGAATAACTGCTCTCGCTCGTCTGTGGCGTTGGATGTGCCAGCTGCAGTCTTTGCCTTTTCACCGCTGCGCAGAGCCCCAGTATCGTGAACATCTCAGCTGGTGTATATGCTCACATGTTCCAGGACGTCTGGATTGTCTGCACTGGCTCGTTTTGGGGCAAATACAAATGAAGCTGCCAGAGACATTCATGGAGCAGTCAGTATGGAATACACTTTCAGGAAGTATCAAGGAATGAAACCTTGGGCTGCACACCTTCTACAAATGTCCCCCCTTGTGACTGCTCCTTTTATTTTTCTGCAAATATTTTTAGAAGACCAGAAACTTTCAATTTTGATGAAATCCAATTCATTGCTCTATGTTACTTTTTGTTGTTCATCATTTTGTGCGTGTCCTACTTTAGAAGTCTCTTTCAAAGCCACGGTCAGTTTTCTTTAGGGTTCTTCTAAAAGTTTTATAATCTTTCATCTTTAGGTTAACGACACATTTCAATTTAATTTTTTGTATAATGTGCTATATAAGCATTAAAATTTACAGCTATAATGAGTTTGTAATATCATTTAAAAACTCATTTCAAAATATCAATTGAAAGGGGCCAACATACACTTTTAGATGTAGCATAATCATCACTGAGAGCTACACTTTGAGAAAAACAAACCAGTGGAAAAGTCCCATGACCCACAGAAACTTCGGGTAGAAACACAGCCCCATTTGAATGACTGTTTTAGATAACATGCCCACTGCATAGTGCATTTCTTTTTCCCTTCTCTTTATTTTTAATGCTCTCTATAATAAATATCATCTCTCATTGCAACAAAAGCAAACTGGAATATTTTTAAGTCACTGAAGAGAGGGTTTCCTGAAGACATTCTGACTGTAGGCTGACTCCACAAGACTGTTGAGTGCATGAAGAGCCCCCTGGGGAATCCTGAGAGAGGCACACATGGCAACAACCTCAATTCCTCCAAGCAGGCAACATCGCCCAGAAAGGTGAAACAAAAAGTGTACAAAGACAGAATGAGTTTAGCTGAAACCCACCCCAAACCTGAACTACACATGAATCAAGGTGTGTGTGGGAGGGTACCTTGCCCTGCTTGCCCCTTCCTCCCTCCCCCTGGAAATCTCTTACTGAGGGCCAGGATCTCAGCATTAACCCGCCTCCCCCTTTCTCAGCTCACTCCCTTCCTGAGGTCTAGGATGAGAAAAGCCTGTGGACTTCTCATTGGCTGGTCTTGCTTGGTGCTCAAGCTGACTGTGGAGCCTCCCAGGGGGCCTTAGGGCTTTTCCCTGTGCAGGCTCCTGACTGCCCCCTGAGGCCTGCCTCCCAAGCTGCTGCAGAAGAAGCTGGCCAGGTGGCACTGGTCACCAGGACACTTCCCTGAGGACTAAAATCTGTAGCCAACCTGGTCTCCCCAGCCAGAGGGTAGGGTAGACGTTTTACCTGGGGAGATGTCTGCAATCCCCAGGAGAGGAGTGCATCCTGCAGGCAGGATCCACAGCCACCGCCTCCCTGGACCAGGCTGCCTTCCACATGCCAACAGTGGAGTGAGAATGCCACCTCAACCAGAGAAGTCTCATGGGGGCTGTCCCACCTACACACACACAGTGCAGTTGTCTCTAGAATCCTTGTCTACTAAGAATCAGCAAGAGGGCTACTGTATAGCACACTGGACTCCTCATGCTGGCCCTCAAGGGTTCAGTCACACAGGGATGCCAAAGGCAGCAGCGTCAGACTGGGCAGTGGGCAGGGCACTGTCACGAGTTGTTAATTCTCAGGCGCATGTACCTTTGGGTGTTTGTGATCCATCCCAGCGTGAACCAGGAAACTGCAACCATGATCCCTTTAGCAGTTAGAACAGATCCTCAACTGAGGCTTCAGGTAGCATCTCCATGGCCTCACGAAAGCAGACATGTATGACATGTCCTCTAAGTGTTTCCTTAATTCTGTGATGACAACCACAGGCTACACTCCAGCAAGTGCAAAGGAAGAAGGGGGCAAGCCGTGCCTGCTCCTCATTTAACAGACACAGGAGCACAAATTCAAGGTCAAGTCACCTGCCGAGACCACATGGGAAGCAGCCCACCTAGGGATGGAACTGGCAAAAGTTCCATTCCCAAATCTAAGCCCCTGGTTGCTATGAGCCCGCGGTCACCAGGTGACAAGAGAAGAAAACTGCACATTCCACACAGGCAAAGGAGTCCGCGGTGTTTCCGACACAAGCACAAGGCATGCTCAGAACAACACCACAGATATTGGACCCAATCGAAGACCAGGCCGCTTGCTAATTTAGCCTCACACAAACCTGAGTTTACAAGGAAGAATCCCTTCTCTGGCATTTCCTGGAAGAGTTGTCTGTATCCTGAATTCTAGAATGGACATGCATTGGGGACACACACATACACACACACCCCAACACTGCGGGGGTATATGAGTGTTTCTAAAAAAAGAGGGCATAATTTTCCCATAGTAGACAAAGCAGAAATTATACAGTAGGGAAATCCAGGCCAATTTTCTTCAAGTAGGTATGCACCAAAAGGAATTACAAATACCATTTACAAAAATGTTTTATACATCCCATTCCCTAATTAACTTGATCTTCCGAGTGGAGCAATAGGGCCCGCTGTTTACCCTGGCCACACAGCACCTAACGTAAATCTGGCGCACAGCAGGAGCTCAGTATTGTTGTACTGTGTGAGAGCATACAGATGAGAAGACAAACACAGGGAGACAAAGAGGACAACACACAACAGGGGCGAGAACGTTGACACTGCAGCCAGGGTGTGTCCAAGTCCCAGCTGGTACTTACTGTACCTATGATCCCTGTCTCCCACACGACTGGTAGAGACCCAAGTTCAGATACAAAACATAAACATTCTAGCTGCAGTTTAACTTGTTGGGTATAACACCTGCCACAAGGCCAACTGCTCTCTAAGCAATGCTTAAGACAATCCCCACTGATCCAGAGCCAGGTGCTTACTGAGGAGCCAGGCCTGGCTGAGATGGCAGAAAACCTGCTCTGTTTCTCCATCAGCCATGACTGCAGAGGGTGGCACTTCCTCTAGCATGTTCAGAAGAAGCCACTTGTGAGACTGGCGGGAGTTACAATACACCCCACGAGCTCAGCCAGGGATGGCATGGTGGTGCACTGGGTTAAACCACCTCATGTGACACTGGCACTCCTTATCAGAGCCTCTTTTAGTTCCGGTTGTTCCACTTTCAATTAAGCCTCTTACTAATGCATCTGAAAAGATGGCAGACGCCAGTTCACATGCCTGCTACCCACGTAAGAATCCTGGAGTCATGGCTCAAGCTTTCAGTCCCTGCCATCCCCATGAAGAAACCTGGCTTGAGTTCAAGCTTCTGGCTTCAGCCTGGTCCAACCCAGGGTTAGTGCAGGAATTTGGGAAGCGAACTGACAACAGAAGATCTCTCTCCATCTGCCTGTCTTGCAGCTAGAATGCATTAAAAACATCCTTAAAAATGCAGGACTGAAAACAGACTGACAGCACAGCAAGATGACAGTCCTGAATAGTTTACATAACAATGTGTTTTTTCTTCCTCCAAACCCCTCAGAGACTCTGAGATGCGCCAGCTGGAGGGTGCCTCCCAGCCTCCAGCCACCTCCTCGCCTGCCTTACCTGGGGAGCAGGTGCTTGCGGCTGACACACAGGGCAGTCTGGTAGTCCTGGGTGACACACACTTTGTGAGGACTGCACTTCACCTTCAGGCAGGGGTCCTTGGATGGGTCCAGGGCTGAGCAAAAAGAATGAGAAGAGAGCAGTTAGGCGCTCCAGGGCAATGTCTTCTGCGTTCCTACTAAAATAAACCAGGCCTATGTAGTCACTCCGCTGATTTCAGAGGCTGGCGGACAGTGGAATGGAATGCATCAGTGTACCCACCCCTGTTGCCACCAGGACAGTGATGCTCATGTTTTGGGAGTTTTGACGTCTATATCTTAGGTAGGGACTCCTGTTTTATTAGAAGACCCCTAAAGTATCCAAAGACTGGGAGCTCACGTCCTCTTTCTGGTTGTTTTGCTCGTACTGCTTTTCAGGATCTCCCTCACGCTGTACACTGCTCAGCTCCCATCACATCACACGTCCTTGAGGATGCAGGCCATTGCTGCGGTTCAGTCCACACTCACTCTGTGCATAAATAACCCATTTGAACTTTAAGAACAACTTCGAGATGTGTAAGGCAGTTCAACCAGCATGCAAAGCCACAATGTGGCAGCGAGGGGAGAGAACGCTGGCCTATAAATATTTATTGTGCAAGGCGGAAATTAGATAAGGGCCATGACGGGCATATAAAATGATAACAGAGCTCAAGAGAAAAATAGAGATCAATTTCTAGGGCAAGGATTAGTGAAGCATTAATATGTGAATTGGATCTTGAAGGATGGGCAGGATGTTGAAAAGCAAAGATAGAGAGAGAGACCCAGGCAAGGGGGTCAGCACAGGCAAATGCAGGGAAGCCTGTCTGGGCCCTCCCAAGACACACATCCAAGACACGCAGGTTAAGCCACCACCCGCGGTGCTGCATCCCTTATGAGAACTGGCATGACCCCCTGCTACTCCAGTTCCCTGCTAATGTGTCTGGGAAGGCAAGGAGAAGCTGGCCCAAGTTCGTATGCCCCTTCCACCACCACCACCACCACCACCACCCTGGTTTTGTCCTGGCTTAGCCCTGCCTGTTGAGACCTTTGGGGGAATGAAACAAGAGACAGAAGATCTCACAGTCTCTTCCTCACTCAGAGATGCCTTTCAAATATATAAAGAAACCATATGGGCCCAATGCAATAGCCTAGCAGCTAAAATTCTTGCCTTGCATGCACTGGGATCCCATATGGGTGCCGGTTCACAGCCCAGTGGCACCACGTCCCATCCAGCTCCCTGCTTGTGACCTGGGAAAATAGTTGAGGATGGCCCAAAGCCTTGGGACCCTGCACCCACATGGGAGACCCAGAGGAGGCTCCCAGCTCCCAGCTTTGGAATGGCTCAGCACCAGCCATTGTGGCCACTTTGGGAGTGAATCATTGCATAGAAGATCTTCCTCTCTCTTTCTCCTCCTCCACTTTGTGTATCTGACTTCCCAATAAAACAAATAAATCTTTAAAAAATCACCTATATGATACAGTCATTGGTGGGTGGAGTAAGTGGGTGTGAGAGGAGCTGAGTCAGTCGTTCTGGGAAGGGTCTCCCACACTGTGGCGTGTTGGGGGGGGCTCAGTGGCAGCTCTTGGCCCTGAGGGCTCAGCACACTGAGGTGCACAGGCTGTTCAGCAGCCCCCAGCAGCCCCCAGGGGCTCCTCTTGCAAAACAAAAGCAATTGTGCCTCCTGGCAGCTCCAGGGCCTGAAGCCCACAAGGTGGTAAATCTGTCACAACAGAGCACCGCAGCCAGCAGAGGTGAAATTTCCCTTTTTCCTGTGCAAACACTTGGTTACACAGATTGGCATCCCAAGCAGGGACAGCAGGGCTGCTGTGACAACAGCCCTCGCCCACACAGCCGCTTGGTGTCGGCCATCATGGCCCACCTTCCCTTCCCACGGCAACCATAACGGAACTGAGGTTCACTCTCCACTGTGCAGAACAGCCATGCGACCAAGGGCCCGGGGCAGTCCTAGGTGCAGTCTTCTGCCCACGGGAGGGCTGGGCTGCCGGCAGCTCAGCAGAGGCTGCAAGACAGGCCGACAGAGCCCCAGGGACAAGGCTCACTTGCAGCTGGTAGGCTGGGGGCTGCCTCTGGGGGAGAGCATCAGTAGGGCAGCTTCCCGGTCCTGGGGTGGAGCTCCTGGTCCTGGGGCTGTTGCTGTGGGTGTGAGGAGCAGGTTTTTGGACAGTGACGCTCACTTTGTGTACAGCCTCCCCTCAACCTGCTCTCCGTGAATATTGGGCCTGTACCTGAGCACCCTGGGCACAGGCTCCAACATTCATTCCAGGGAAGACAGTGAGAAATGGTGACCAGCTAGCTGAGCTTGGAAGCCCTCAGTTGCTCCATCATGCACGCCCACCCGGACTACAGGCAGCCCCAGCCGAGGTATGCTCCCCAATCGACACTGAGTGCTACAAACACAGGAAGATGTGCACATAGGGAGACCAGAAAGGGAGAAGAGCTGACTACGGAGATGCACCTGCTGTGTGACATGACAAATCTGATAGCAGAATCTGATTTCTTTTTCCCTCTGTGGACAACTTCACAAAGTCCACATGGACACTAGTTGACATCAACAGGCTGTGCAGTCACAAGGACAACAAACGAGGAGAGGCCCTTCGGCCTAGCCATGGGGCAGGCAGTTAGCACACCCACACCCCCCGCCTTTGCGTCGCACTGCAGAGTCCAGGTTCCTGCTGAAGTACACCTGGAGGCAGCAGGGGACGGCTCCGTCGTAGGTCCCTGCCATCTGCACTGTGTTCCGCTCCCAGCTTCAACCCCAGCCAAGTGCAAGCTGCTATGGGCATCCATGGAACAAATCAGCGGATGGGAATACAGACGTTCTTGCTCACTCATTGTCTCTCAACTTTAAAAAGAAAATACTTTTATTTTTATTGGAAAGGCAAATTCACAGCAATAAGGAGATAGAAAGATCTTCTGTCTGCTGCCTCACTCTCTAAGTAGCTGCAATGGCTGGAACTGAACCAATCTGAAGCCAGGAATCAAGAGTTTCTTCCAGGTCTCCCACACAGGTGTAGGATCCCAAAACTATCTACTGCTTTCCCAGGTCACAAGCAAGGAGCTGGAAAGGAAGTGGAGCAGCTGGGCACCCATACGGGATTGTGGCACTTACAAGGTGAGGATTTAGCCACTGAGCCATTGTGTTGGGCCCACTTCTCAAACTGAAACAAAGAAAGCTGGGGGGCGGAGGGGAAGTGCTGACAGTGGTGCAGGAGAACAGGAGGAGGAAAGGTGTTGTACCAGGGCTCAGTGGGGCAGAGCAGGCTTCTGGGCCTGGCACCCAGCTCACTGCTGTTTCCTCTTCTGTAAAATGGGAACACGAAGGCTGTACTGCTTGCTGGCTGTTATGAGCATCCCACGGTTAACGTCCGCAAGTACCGGAACTGACCTGGTGCTCAGTACGTGCATCTCAGCTGTGTTTTCTGGGCTCGTACAGGCTGTTCTCCAGGGACAGGGGGCACTCATGAGGGCTCCTGGTGCTTCGAAGCCCTCGAATGCACATCCCACATCTAATCCGCCTCACCACAGGAGCAGGTGGCTGCTGCGAATGGGCTCATCCTACAAATACAGGTCTTAAAGAGAGGGTGCTAATGAGCAGTGAGGAGAACATTCAGAATCCAAGCTTCTCAATGAGAAATACCACCAGAATGAGAAGCATCCAGAACCTTCTGAAAGCTGGTTGTGGGCCCAACCCCTAATAAATAACAGTCTAGGTGACTTCAGGGTAGAATGACAATGATGGGGGGGGGATCCTGGGCAACCCCCACCTCCCCTCTCCCCAGCAATGCACACCTTAAGACTAAGGTCACCAGCCCCATGACACCCCTGGGTGTGCATGCCCCTCTCCTGGTTACCCTGATAACCATGCCCCCTCATCTGCTTTGTCTGCATGCAGCAAATCCCTTCTGAGCCCACCTAGCCCCTGCAGAGCCCGTTTTGATTCTGTGGATCCTGCCACCCGCGACCCGCCCCATCATTAGACTACCCCAAAGGATCAGCCCTGTAATTCTGTCAGTGAACATCTCATAAGACAGCTAGGGAAACGTCCAACCCAAACTACTAACAAGAACACTGCAAGTCACTGAACTCTGCACAACATACCTAACAATTTGCATATGGAAATCAAGTCTGCTGAAAATTAGTAACTAGGGTCTGAATACTTCAAATGATCATGGGAATTACTGAAAGTAAATGAACTTCACAGGACCAGAAAACAACACCCCAGCAAGCTGCCAAGGCTGCTTTCATCAGCAGGACATGCCTTATTTTTGAATAATGGCAACACTGGGATAAGAGGGGGTGAAGAGTGTGTCATTTTCATTTCAATGCAGGCATCCCAAATATGTTTCTCTAGGCATTGCCAGACTGTGACACTTCTGAAAGATCCGTGGCACCTGCCTTGGATGGGGCTGTAGGGCTCCACTTTCCTGAGCGCACTGTAAGAAATCACCACAGTGAGGGCACTGGAAGGGCCCTTGACTAAGACGGGGGAGCTGTGCAGGTGAGAGCAGAGCGAATGCACTGCACATCAGCGACAGCCGCAAGCAAGTTGGAAATGTCCTTGCCACATGCTGATGATTTCTTGGGGCCCGGCTCCACCTTTCATCCTCTCTCTGCGCAAGGGTGGCGGGATGCAGGGCTCCCTGGACCATGGCATGGCCTACTTCCCCCTCCACCTCTTGGGTTTCTTCCCCTGTGGGGATTGCCTGGGCCCCGAGAGCAGCAGGTGCCTGGCACAGAGCAGGTACCTGCTGATGGCTCCTTTCATCTTTCTGAACCACAGACCAAAGACAATCAAGGGTCAACTGGCACAGATACATGGCCAATTAATTTTGCAAAGCAATCTTCACAAAAACTTTTTTCAAAGAAAAGCCAAGAAAAGAATTAATTTAAAGAGTGATTTCTTGAGCTGCAAAGAATTCAATTCAAAAGCCAGTTAATTATCGGCTCCGTGTACATTTTTTTAAATTAACTATTTTTTTTTTTAAGCTCACTGCTTGGTCTCAATTAAGGTGGTGATATTTTAATTATCTTAATTGTTTCTGAACTTGTTTTTCAGCTCAGTGAGTTATTTTTTTA